GGCCACAATGCCGGCCTCAGTCATTTGTTCCGAACATCAGCTGTGAGCTCCAGAAGACAGATGCGTGCTCTGCATCTAGAGACGTGGGAGCTCACTCAGGGGCCTGGAGCTTAGAGGCCCGGATTCCATTCCCAGTGTTGCCACATACCAGCTCTGGGCCTGTGGCCAAGCACTTAATTTTCTAAACCTCAGCTTCCCCATCTGTAACAACAATGCCCCCAATCGTGGAATTGTCATAAAAACGAAAGGAAAGAATTAGGTGATTAGGCATTGACTACCTACCTGGCCCAGTAGCCATTTGATTCACAGAGCAAAAATGCATTTGGGAGTAGAATTAGGAACATTTTGGGAAGGCAGTTATGTGTAATACCAGGAACAGGGCACGAAGATGGCACAATGAGGTTTGTAATCATTTCTCCTTGGGTTGTTGGGCTTGGGTGTTTTTTTCCCCCTTGTTATTCAGCACTTTAATAATAGGTATCAGTGTGAAACACCGAGAGAGTCATTCAAGGACATGCTCGTTAATGGTTATTAATTCATTAAATGAAACAGAATCTCACTGCCAGAGCCCGGCCCTCATCAGTGGCCCGCAGCGTACACACCAATTCACCGCGCCTTTTTCAGGCCAAAGACACCACAGTTATAACTCCGAATTGCCCAAGTGATCTTCAAGACTCCAGTCTTCTTTCTTGGGCTCTAACCTTGTCTTTAAATGGGCTATAAAGAAGACAGGCAGAGTGGACAGTGAGAGAGACAGAGAGAAAGGTCTTCCTTTGCCGTTGGTTCACCCTCCAATGGCCGCTGCGGCCGCGCGCCGGAACACCGCGCTGATCCGATGGCAGGAGCCAGGTGCTTCTCCTGGTCTCCCATGGGGTGCAGGGCCCAGTGACTTGGGCCATCCTCCACTGCACTCCCTGGCCACAGCAGAGAGCTGGCCTGGAAGAGGGGCAACCGGGACAGAATCCAGCGCCCCGACCGGGACTAGAACCCGGTGTGCCGGCGTCGCAGGCGGAGGATTAGCCTAGTGAGCCGCGGTGCCGGTGACAATGGCTTAATATTCATGTCCTGGCCCACAAGGAAAGCTGCATTTTTGTCCCGTGATCACGTACACACACACACACACACACACACAAACTGTCGCAAATGTCTAATAAATTAATACCTTTCTTACACTCGGTGACCCGTGCTGAAAAATCCCCATTTATTTGTGTTACTGGTATTCTTTCACACTGGTTGCCGCTACCGATGCCACGACTTGCTAATGGAGTGAGAGCGAGCCACGTGTAAGCCGCAGCCACAGGAAAACTAATGTAGGCACATAGGGAGTTCCTGCTAGGCCACGGGGTCAACAAAGGCAAGGCCTCCCAGGGCCTCCCTGTGGCCTGGTGTGAACAAAGCCTCCTTCTCTCCTCTCGGGATCCCAGTTGTGGAAGTGGGCGAATGCTGAAGGGAACTCCCTTGAAGATCGCAAGGGTTGGTGCAAGAGCTGCCGAGCGTCCTCTGCCGGGAACACAACGGGAAGGAAGGAAGAGAAGTTCCGCAGGAGCTGCGGCTGGCGACCAAAGGCTGTGCGTCCCCCCTGCCCGGTCCCCCCCCCCCCAACACACCTCCACAGGGAGGCAGAGGCCAAGGTGATCTCTGACTGTGAGGTCCAGTGTGTGTGTCAGTCGGGGAGGAGCGAATTAGAAGACTCCTCCTCCAATCAGCCCAGCCTGTGCGTGCGTGCATGCAAAGGCAGGGGGGATGATCCAGCTGTTACTGTCTCCTGTCCCCTTTATCCCTTCCTTCTGACGGTGAGTGCAAGGCTGTGCTAGCACCTGCACCTGTTGCCCACAAGACTCTCCCTGGCCCACAGGGTGAACAGGGCAACGGCGGAGCACTCAGACATCTGGACCCTGGCACACTCCTGTACTGGCACAAGCAGTTTCTGTCTCCTGGGGCGGTGACGTGGAAGACTGACTCTGGCTCTGGGAGGCCGTCAGGCAGGCCCAGTGCAAACAGAAAGGCAGGGCCCACTGCCGGCTATTGCTGGGAAACCCGCTGTTCCCACCAGCCCGGAAGTGAAGAGTGATGACAGAAAAGGGGAGTATTTTTGAAGACAGAAACTTTGGCCACATAGGCAATGCTTTAAAAAGAGGGGGTTTGCTGTAGCTGTTAGTGTCTCCTTGTCTTCCAGATGCTGGAGCCCTTAGGAAAGAAATGTCACTTTGCTCTGCCTCACTTCAAGCTCAGTGGTGTTTTCTGAATTGTTTGATCTTTTGGAGCTCTGAGAAGCCCCAAAAGGTAATGTGCACCTGGGACAAAAAAAAAAAAAAAAAAAAAAAAAAAAAAAAAAACTACATGGCAAGTAGGCTGAGGACTTGGACTTCACTGTCCTCTTGGGCCCCAGTGGCCCACAAGCAGGGGCTGTGCTGACATCCTGTGGACAGCCCTGCAGAGGCAAGGCTGGCCACCATCTCGTGTGGGACTGGCGTGGGGTGAGCCTTACACTGGGGGGCGAGAAAAAAGTCCTCCTTGAGAGTTTGGCTCAGCAACACAGCGAGGCTGCAGGATGTCCGGTGTATGTGGGCAGGGAAGAAAGTTAAGTGCCCTCCCTTGAGGAAGGAGTGAAGATGGCAGAGTAGACCAGCAGCCAAGGACAGTTGTAGCCAGAGGGCAGCATTGTGGGTGCATGACCAAGAAGGGGGGGCGGGGGGGGTGGGCTGTTGACCCTCCCGGTGAAACCACGGGGGTGGGAGGCGAGGAATCTCCCAGAGACCCGCAGCGGGCTTTCTAAGAGGACACATGTGTCGAAGATTCCAATCAAGCTTCCAGGGAATGGAATATTCTGAGTATTTGTATGGAAAACATTTTCATTTTTATTTGAGATACAGAAAGATACAGAATCAGACAGAGAGGCAAAACTCCCATCTGCAGATTCACTCTCCAAATGTCTGCAATGGCCAGGGCTGGGCCAGGCCGAAGCGGGAAGCTGGGAATTCAATCCGGACGTCCCATGTGCGTGGCAGAGGCCCACACCCTTGAGTCACCCCTTGTGCCACCCAGGGTCTGCATTCACAGGAAGCTGGAGCTGGCACTCCAACCCACACGCCCCGATGTGGGATGCAGCTATCCCAAGTGGCGTCTTAACCATCCGCCTCTACACTGTCCCCTTTCCTGAAAGAACCAATACAAGGAGGCTATAGCACAACTATTGGCTAGAGTCAATATTAGGTTCAGAAGTGTGGTTGGGGGCTGGTGTCCCCTTCACCAGATTGCCCCCTCAAGTCTCTTTCTTGTGACAGTTCAGAGAAATATAGGTTTGGTTCTACCAGGGGAGCCACCAGCTAGGAGCCGGTCACAAATATTCCCAGTTTTTCTCTCCTCCTGGGCACGGGGTGGGGAGCAATACTTGCCCGTCTCGAGGAAGTTAAGCATGGCCATGTGACTGTCAGGCCAACGAAATGGGAACAGCAACGTGCATCACATGGGGTGGAAGTATTCAAGAGTGATGCATGAGCCCCCCAGCCCTCCTTCTCTCTTGTGGCAAACCCCTAGAGGCTTGTGTTCGGGTGACAGTGTCCTGAGATGGCAGATCCCTCACCAGCCTGGGACCCTGAATGACTACAATGAGCAGAGCCCCCCCCCCCCGACACACACACATACACACATATCTAGTGAAACGACCTTGGCCATGTAGCATGAGGAAGACATAAACCTCATTAAGCCACTGATGTTTGGGGACTGTTTGTTACCATGGCATGATGTGGCCCATGCAGACTAAGACACATAATTTGGCTTAGCAGAATCCTTGGTACCTGATATTTTCCCAAGGTGCTAACTAGCCGATAACCAGGTGTGAGAGTTCATGAACTCAAATGGGAACGCTTCACTCCCCCTTCTCTCCAGAGAGCTCAATAACGGCCCCCAAAGTCACTGGAAACTCATTCAGGCAACTCTGGATCTGTTGGGCAGTAAGTAGCGCCCACGTTCCCAGAGTTCGACAGGGCTGGGCAGCTACAAAAATCCGTCTCCCCGGAGGCTGTTTTCACATTGATCCTTGTTCCAAACCAGCCAGCCTCGCAAGTACTCATTACAAAGCTGGCCAGCTAAGCCCCCAGGCAGAGCTGGAGCAGCACTCGCAGACCCTGCTCCAAATGAAAGGAAGGCCATTCCTCTCACGGTGCCACCTTGCTCCTCAGTAACCCAGGCCGCCTGTCTGCAGCTCACTTCCATGGTTACCCAAACGCAGAGATCTGGGCTCTCGGAGTCTCAGGATCCTCGCTCAGTTACCATGGCCACGACATACGGCTAGAGCAAACAACATTGCTGACCTCAACTGATCATTGCATTTGAAACCCAAGACATTCGGAGAACCAATTCGCTTTGAAACATTAAAATCAACCAACAGGTATAGAGAGGGCTGAGTACTGTGACCCAGTGAAATTAAGCCATGATCTGGTAACCTCACTTTCCAGCCATAGGAAAAAGAATGATCACTTTCAACAGCATTTTGACAACTGCTGAAATTTCAATATAGAGTACATTTTAAATAACACTGTTGTGTTGATGATAAAATTCCTGATTTGGATGACTGTGAATAAGAGAATATGTTTGTTCTTGGGAAATACACGCCGAGGTATTTAGGGGGTAAAGGGTCCTGATGTTTGCAATTAACTCAAACTGTCAGTAAGAAATAACAATATGGAAAGAGAAAGTGAATATAGTAAGATGTTAACAACGGGGAAACCTAGGTGTATGCTCTACTGTTCTTGTAACTTTTCTGCAGGTTTGAAAATTTCAAAATAAAAAGTTTTTTAAAAAATCATGCATGCTGCAAACCAACACCTTTCAAATTTGTTTAACCACAACCCACAATAAAATACAGATTGTACACAGCAACCCAGTACGCACATGTACATATATGTGTCAAACAAATGCATACAAATTAAATAAAAGGATTCACAAAACAATACTTAGAATACTACAGGTCTGTTCTGTGACTTTTCTATTCTACCGTGTTTTTGTTTTTTTTAAATGCTGCTCATGACCCGTTCAATTGACTTGAAGAGCACTAAGGGGCAAGGCCCATGTCAACTCTCCTGGCGCAGGCAGTTCTTTCTGCACCACCGCTAATAAGACGTAGAAGTACAGTCACCAGGAAGAACTGACAGGCTGGGGCACCCTGAATCCTTGGGGCTTTGAAAACCCACCTCTTCAAATACACAGAGAAAAACTCAGGACATCAAGAAGATGACGAGTTTCAGAATATTCTCGAATGCAGCCATCAGTGCAAACGTACAGCACTTCCGTTGATTTAACCATCCCACAGTCCGCCAGGAACCTGAGCCTCTTGTGACCAGCTCAGGATGGATCAGCTGCTGACCACAGAGATGGGCAGGAAGCACAGCAGAGCCAGCTTTCGGCTCTGTAACTCTGCCTTTCAAATAAATAAAAATCCATCTTACAGGGAAAAAAAAAAAAAGGAAGACACAGCCTTGCAAAGCCTACCCTTGCTGAAAGAGCTGCTGATCCTGAGGTCAACAGAACAGTCAGTCTCTGTCCATTTCCACTGCAATCTTGAGGAAAAAACTGGCCTGTTAGGGCCCTTGGGGTGGGATTTGGCAACCGTGCCCTCAGAACAGCACACCCAGGGGCCGTGGCGCCCTCTGGTTTACATAGCTGGCCGGCTCCCAGCCTGAGAAATTTCCAAATCCTCCTTCCCAGCTCCGGGCTGCCTGCATTCCTCTTGGCTGTGAGTCCCAAAGTGTGCAGCCCATAATAATTCCTACAACTACTGGAATCATCGCGGGAGCTGAGAGTCCCAGTCCCCAGACGCAGCACCTCCGCGTCTTCTCAGCAGCCTGCCCAGAAAACGCTAAGCAGAGAGGATTGTGCGGCTTCCGGGGAGCTTCACAATGCGCGTTAGCATATGAAAGACTGCAAAGTCCCTCGGTAGAGAAATCCGCTTACCATTTGTTTTCTAACTTTAGGGTTTTACATATTTATTTGTCCATAAACACACCCCACTGCCCCCTTTTTCCCTACTCTGACCCAAACTTTTTCTGGCTCAGACGGCCCCCTGAGAATAGTTGTGGAGTAAATGCAATGGATCTTTGTTTTAAACACCTCCTAATCCAGGAATCACCACCTTCTCCCATCTCCCTTCCTTCTTGTCCTGTCCATCTTCCTGAACCCTGGTGTCTCCCAGCCCCTGGGTGGTTTGGCAGTGGGGGAAGATTGTGGTAGACAACAAAAGGGCTGGGTTTAATAGGTTACCCCACCTGGAGAATTGGCACAGTTCTTAGTACTTGGCCAATGATTCGACTGTCTAATGCAGGCAGTGCGGGCACTGCTGCCTGGAAGGTGGGGGAAGGGGTGGGGGCGGAGCCCTAGGAGCTTCCAATTCCTAATCTTCCCACTTGGGGGCGCACATTCATTCTTACTCCTTCCCAATGGGCATCCATGTGACAAAAGCAGACATCTGTAAGCTCCCCGTTCCGTCCTCAGCCTGGGGGCCGTCTCCGGAACTAAATCATACCTTCCACCTTGCATCCAAAATTTCACCATGGGCTTCCACCCTGTCCCCTCTCCCCTCAATCAAAACACCCCCAAGCCCAGATAAGCAAACTTTCCCCCTTTGGCCAAAGCAGTTTGGGACATCCCAACGAAGCAGGTTCAGTTCCTCTGCAAGTCACACACGGAGTGCTGGGCCGCGGCGAGCAGGAGACAGGAGGCGAGGAGAAAGGTGGTCCCGCAGCCCGAGCCTGCCACCCCGCGGGAGGGAAGGTTGTCAGGCACGGAGGCATTGACCAGACCCCCCGTGGTGTTGGCCACCTCCTCCACTGGGCCTTTCGGGGCCAGCAGCTTGGAGAGGAGGCTGCTGAACCTGCTCACGGTGGCAGCCACTGGCTCTGGGGACGGGCCCGGGCTGGACGCGGTGAGGTTCAGCTCCTCGGGGTCCACACAAAGGCCATCGGAGGAGCGGCCGAAGGCCACCTGGCTGAGGTCTAGGCCGGCCACGGAGCCCGGGGACGCGCACGGTACATCGGTGACGCGCCCTGCGCCCTCCATCCAGTCCCGCAGCCACTCCAGGTGGCAGTCGCAGCGCCACGGGTTGCGGAAGAGGAAGAGGCGGCCCAGGAAGAAGCCGGGCTGGAAGGCGGCCCAGGCGAGCACGGTGAGGCGGTTGCCATTGAGGTGCAGGGCGAGGAGGCCCGAGAGGTTCTGGAAGGCGCCCTCCTCCACGAAGGCGATGCTGTTGCGGTCCAGGTAGAGCAGCTCAAGCTCGACCAGGTCGGCGAACCAGGAGCGCGCCACCAGGCCCAGCGCGTTGCCACCCAGGTTGAGCGTGCGCAGACGGCGCAGGCCGCGGAAGGCGTCGGCCGGCAGCGCGGCCAGCAGGTTGTCGTTGAGAAGCAGGTGCTCCAGCGCGCCGCAGTCCCCGAAGGCGCCGGCGTGCACGGCGCGGACGCGGTTGGCCTGCAGGCTGAGCGAGCGCAGGCGCCGCAGGCCCAGCAGCGAGCTGGAGGCCACCGCCTCGATGCGGCCGCGCTCCAGGTGCGCGTGCGTCAGGTTGGCCAGGCCGCGCAGCGCGCCCGGCACGCGGCGGAACAGGTTGTCGAAGGCGGCGAGCTCGCGCAGGGCGGGCAGCTCGGCCAGGAGGCGCTCAGGCACGCTGAAGAGGCGGCAGGCGGCCAGGTCGAGGCGGCGCAGGCGGCCGAGCGCGGCGAAGGTGCGCGCGTGCAGGTAGCGCAGGTCGCCGTTGTGCGCCAGGCGCAGCTCGGCCAGGCGCGGCAGGCCCTTGAAGGCGCCAGGCGTGATGAAGGACAGGTTGTTGTGGCGCAGCGACAGGCGGCGCAGTGACGGCAGCGTGCCGAAGGCCCGCTCGCCCAGGATGCGCAGGCCGTTGCGGTCCAGGTCGATGGAGGCCGCCTCGCACGGGAACTCGGCGGGCACCCGCAGGAGGCCCGCGCGGTCGCAGCGCACGGCGCAACCTCGCTCCACGCTGCTGCAGGTGCAGGCGGCGGGGCAGGCGCGAGTACAGGCCTCCGCGGCCCGGGCGCAGGGCAGGCCGAGGAACACCGCTGGTGGGCAGGAGAGTGGGGGCGGGAGGGGCAGCGGGACAGACAAGGAAAGACAAAAGAAGAAGTCAGAAAGCCGGCCCAGGTTGAATCCTACCTACCCAGGTAGCAGGATGCAGGCCTTCCACTAGCTTCTCATGCAAGCCTGCCCATGGCCTCTTGCAACCTCCTGAGTGTCACATTTTTCCCCATCCATGACGCCCTCCCCTTTTCCTGTCCGCCCTCCCCTTTTCCTGTCCGGTTACCTAACCGCATCCTGGCGTTAATCCCTGCACCAAGCCCCATTCTAGACTTGCTCCAGCCCGTATCGTCGCTTGTGTGCTCCTACAGGGTGATGGCGATTTGTGGTGTTCGTGCCCAGAAGGCAATCTCCCAGGGCATCCCTGTGGCCTAACTGTAGGCTTACATTGCCCAGTAGAGTAGCTGCTAGCCACGCGAGCTGTTGCGCATTCGAAATGGTGGCCAGCCCGAATTGAGAAGTGCTGTTAAGTATCCAACACCCACTGGATGTCAGGTAGTGCAACAGTGACCTTCTGTTCCCCGGTTCACTCCTCAAATGCCCTCCCCGCACCAGCCAGGGCCGGGCCAGGCCAAAGCTGGGAGCCAGGGAGTCAATCTGCATCTCCCACGGGGGTTCCAGGAAGCCGGGGACTGGAGCCATCACCTGCTGCTTCTCAGGGTGTGTGTTAGCAAGAAGCTGGATCGGAAGCAGAGGCAGGACTCACCCCAGGCACTCCAGCAGCGTGTTAACTGCTGGGCCAAATGCCTACCCCCATATCAATAATTTTTATATTGTTTGCATCTTGAAATGACATTTTAGATATAGTGGGTTAAGTAAAATATTAAAATAAATGTGAACTGTTCCTACATCTTTAATGTACCTACTTAGAAAATGTAGACAGGCCGGCGCCGTGGCTCAATAGCTAATCCTCCACCTTGTGGCGCCGGCACACCGGGTTCTAGTCCCGGTCGGGGCGCCGGATTCTGTCCCGGTTGCCCCTCTTCCAGGCCAGCCCTCTGCTGTGGCCAGGGAGTGCAGTGGAGGATGGCCCAGGTGCTTGGGCCCTGCACCCCATGGGAGACCAGGAGAAGCACCTGGCTCCTGCCTTCGGATCAGCGTGGTGCGCCGGCCGCAGCGGCCATTGGAGGGTGAACCAATGGTAAAAGGAAGACCTTTCTCTCTGTCTCTCTCTCACTGTCCACTCTGCCTGTCAAAAATTAAAAAAAAGAAAAAAAAAAAGAAAATGTAGACAGTTGTGGCATGTGTTATATTTCTATTATAACCATTATAGTCCCTCTCACTGTAAGAATTCAATTCCTGAAAATTCCCATTGAGTGAATTAAGCCATATGGAGAAGGGAGAATTAAGGAGCAGGGAGTTGGGAATGAAGGAAAAGCCTATTAATTATTTTAATGCTCACTCATGCCAAAACTATCAATGGCCTTTCTTTCACATCTCAAAAAAAAAAAAAAAAAAAAATTGTGGCCATCAGGCAGCTAAGTTCCATTCACTAGTTTTTGCTCTCTGGAAACTTTTTTACATCATCCCATAAAAGAAAGGTGCTTGTAAGTGAATTATGCTCTGAGCATTTGAATGGGGGATCCAGTAAAGACTGCCCCACCCCCCACCCCCGGCCACCCCAGGTAGGCTCAGCACAGGCAGCAAACCCGAATGTCATGGCCTGCTGCCCAGTGGATGCCAGAGGCCCCAAGCCCAGTCTTGAGAACCAGTGGGAAAAACAGCGTGATAAGTCCACACTTTTTATGTTTTAGTGAGGAGTAGCTTCAAGATGGAGTGTGTTCCTTGTGAAATTCCTGCAGGGGGAACAAAGCATACCCAAATGTACACATGGCCACTGGTTCATCATTCCTGATCTTCCTCATCAGCACTCCCCAACTCCCAGAAGATGCCCTTGGCCCACCATTCAGTCCCTGCCATCGTGGCCACGTCTCGCGCGCTCGCCTCCGCAGGCCGGGGCGGCAGCCTGTCAGTGCAGCCAGCACCAGGGCCTGTAGAGGACACTCGCCGCTTCTGCAGGCTTGTCCGGCTCCCGTGTCTTTTCAGTCCACCTGCTGCGAATGCTCTTGCTTTCCCAGCTGCTAGGGAAGGGAGTCGGCCCTTTGGCACTTGGCTGGAGAACTCTCAGAGCTTTGAGTGCTCAGTTGAAAACTGTAGCTACTGCAACATTCGGATGGTCAGGAGGTCTGACTTAGCTCTTCCCTCTCCCGCAAACTGTGTGATAGGTACCAAGCTTCTTGGACCCTGTGCTGAGCTTGGCTGTGAACAGGGTCACTTCTAGGCTAGGGAGATGCTCCTTTGGGGAGACAGGGCCGAGAATAGAACCTGAACTCCAGACCTCAGCTGGACAGAGGCCCAGCATTTTTCTCAACTCTTCCAACTGGGTCAAGTCGAAGGCATCTGATTTCCTTACAAATAGCCCTTCATTCTACTTTCTTCTCCTTTCTAATTAAGAAAAGTATACTCTTCAATCACAGGACTCACGTTTCTACCCCTCAGTGGCCAGCATTGTCGGAGGCCCACTGTCGGTACAATTAAGTGGAATCGATGCCTTAGTCCTGTGAGGATTCCTGCTAAAGGATGTCATTTATTTAAAAATCTCGTTGTCAAGGAGCTCATGAGATTATAACTGGCAGGCTGCAACCAATTTGTATAATGCGAGAGATCAAAAAGTTAGCTGCCAGTGCTTAAAAAACGCATGCAAGAGGGATGAGTGGAAACTTCTTATTTTTTTATTTTATTTATTTATACTCTTCTTACCTTTTGAGTATTGGACCATGTGAAAGTATTATTTCAGAAAGTAGGCTGAATTAAAGCTTATTTTACATTTTTAAAATGGATTTATTTGAGAGATAGAGTTACAGACAGAGAGAGGGAGAGACAGAGAGGTCTTCCATCCACTGGTTCACTCCCCAAATGGCTGCAACAGCCAGAGCTGAACCGATCTGAAGCCAGGAGCTTCTTCCAGGTCTCCCACGCAGGTGCAGGGGGCTAAGCCATTGGGCCATCTTCTACTGCTTTCCCAGGCCATAGCAGAGAGCTGGATCAGAAGTGGCACAGCTGGGACACAAACTGGTGCCCATATCAGATGCTGGTGCCACAGGCGGAGGCTTAGCCTACCATGCCACAGCACCAGCCCCTACTTTCCATTTTAGTGAAATACTCAAGACATTGTCACTGCTAAAGACCTATTTTCAGTGTCTGAAACCTTGATAGCCATTGGGAACAATAGTTAATCTACTGGATTATTTAGTGAAATTTAAATTAAGTCAAGGGGTGAGCCTTTCGTGCAGCAATTAAGTCGCTGCTTGGGATACCCACATCGCACACTGGAGCGCCTCGTTCAAATCCAGGCTACTCTACTTCTGATCCAGCTTCCTGCTAATGTGCACCCTGAGAGACTGCAGATGCTGGCTCAACTACTCAGGCCCCTGCCATGCATGTGGGACACCTAGATGGAGTTCTGGGCTCTTGGATGCAGCCTGGGCCAGCCCTGACTGCTGCCGGCATTTAGGGGAGTGAACCGGTGGATGGAAGATCTCTCTCCAGCTGTGTCTCTGTCTCTCTGCCTTTCAAATAAAATGAAAATAAATAAGTAAAAATTTAAACAAATCAGTTAAGTAGATTCTCAGAGCAGACAGCAAAACTCCAGCATTGGTTTACCCAGTTTGGAGACTAAATGTGTATGAGGGGGGTCTACCAAAAGTTCATGGAAAATGCATATATGAAAAAATTATATATAGGTTTCAGAAATTTTTTGCACCAAAATAAACTTATCTTTTAATTCCATTTCTCCATGAAGTTTTTAAAATCCCCTCTCATACATATATTTGGTGGGCTAGAAAAAGTGGGGCACCAAAAAAAAAACTTTTTATTAAAAACATCCTTGAGTGAGTTCTGCTTGCAGTATTGGCAGAGTAGCTTGTATCTCCCTAATATCCTGCTGACACCTATTGTAAACTTGGAACAAATTTTTTTTAAATTTTTATTTGTCTGTTTTGAGAGGCAGAATCCACTGGTTCGCTCCGCAAATGTTCCCAGTGTCCGGGACTGGACGGAGCTGAAGCCAGAGCCAGGGGTCAAACCCAGACGCTCCAGTATAGGAGACGGGCACCCAAACCAGCATCTTAACTTCTAAGCTAAACACCTGCTGCTTAAAAAATATCTTGTTCGGGGGTAGACATTCAGTCCAGCAGTTAAAACATTGGTTAGAGGCCTAGATTGGATCCCCAGCTCCAGCTCCCAATTCCAGCTTTCTGCCAGTGCAGACCCTGGAAATCAGAGGTGATGACTCAAGTGCCTGGGTTCCTGACCCAGATATGGGAGACCCAGATGGCAATCCCAGCTCCCAGCTTCACTTCAGCCTCGGCCATTTCAGGCATTTGAGTGCGATTCAGCAGATGAACTTGCTTTCTCAAATAAATCAATACTCAATCAATCAATACAAATTTTATTAAAAACAAGAGCCCTGGAGAGCAACCCAAAGAAGCAACCAGAGTGCCTGCAATTTTTATAAGAAAAGAAACAAACTTGAGACCGGCACTGTGGCATAGTAGGTTAAGTCTCTGGTTGTGGTGCTGGCACCAGTTCAAGGCCCAGCTGCTCCACTTCTGATTCAGCTCCCTGCTCATGCGCCTGGGAAAGCAGTGGAGGATGGCCCGAGTGCTTGGGCCCCTGCACGCAGTCTATGGTGATTTTGTTATAGCACAGCCCACAAGACAATAAAATGATATACTTAAGTGCAGAAAGCACAGCAAACTCTGGCAAGCTAGAATTCTATATCTAGTGCAAAGGCCTGAAGAGAAATGAAGGAAAACAGGCATTTCGAGCTAAAGATAACCTGAGGAAATTCATCTCCCACAGATCTTCTGCACAACCGAAAATGAAGACATTCTTCCACCAGAAGGAAAAGTATTCTGGAGGAAAATCAGACCTACAGGAGAAAATGAAGTGCAAGCGAAATGGAAAACATGTCACTGGACAG